GAGAGCGAAACTCCGTCTCAAAAAAAAAAAAAAAAAAAAAAAAGGAAAATAACTTGTCTTTACTGATGTCTTATGCTGTCGAATCAATTAGCCCTAAAGCCTATCCTACCTTTGTACTTATGGTTACGTGAGATAATATATTCCTTATTGCTTAAGCTAACTTTAGTGGCCTTTGTTGTTACTTACAACTGATGTTATAATTAATACAACATCCACTAGAATATAAGCTCCAAGAGGGCAGGGAATGTGTCTATTTTGTTTACCATTATATCTGCAGTGTGTAGTCCAGCACCTATCCCCTAGCAAACATGTAATAGTTATTTACTGAATGACTATAATCATATCAAGCATCATTTATTAAGTATGTCTGCAGTGGACACTTGACTAGACAGCATAAAGATTTAATTAGGGAGTCTGACTACTCTTGGCTGTGAGCCAATCCTTCAAGAGAAGAACTTTACCTTTGTTCCCCACAATCTGGCATACAGTATACCTTACACATTTGCAGACTAAAAGATCTATGTCGCAGAATTTTGCCAACCCTCCAGCAGGGGGTTCCCATAACCAGGTGTTCTGGGCTCTGGGAACTTTTTCTTTTTTTTTTTTTTTTTTTTCTTTATTTTTTTTTTTTTTTCTTCTCAGCCCCTCCTTTGCTGCATTCTCCTCCATCTTCCCCCCTCCCCTCCGCTTGAAGCCAAGGAACACAGCAATGCAAGAAAGCTCAGAAGGGACTTTTCAATTTTCAGAACCTTAGTGTTTGTCCCGTCCCAGCTTCCAGCACCTGTTAGAGAGGGCCGAGAATATGCTTTTATTATCAGAGGATGTTCTCTTAGGTCAGGGTTAAGCAAACGTTATCTGTAAAGGGCCTGATAGTAAACATTCTAGGGCCATAAGGTCTTTGTCCTATCAATGCTCTTGTAACACACAGAACTGCTGAGTCAAGCATCCCTGCAGCCTCTGTATTTCTGGCTATGCAAGAGCATGTATTCCTGTATTCTTAAGCCACTTTTAGTTTGCTTTATTGTTACTTACACCTGAAGATATAATTAACACAACTGTCCACAGCTAGACTATATAAGCTTCAAGAGGGCAGAGAACTAAATAAAGAATAAGCAAAAGAATGGGTGTGGGTGTAACTGTGTTTCAAAAAAAAAAAAAATTATGGACAAAAACAGACAACTGGCCAGATTTGGCTAACCCCTGCCTTAGGTGAACAGGCATTGCCTAGGTCATTGGCTTTCAAACTTCAGGGTACATCAGAATCA